AATATAAAATACAAAATATAAAACACAAAAATACAAAATATAAAACACAAAAATGTAAAATACAAAATATAAAACACAAAAATACAAAATATAAAACACAAAATACAAAATACAAAAGTAATTTTATGCTGTCGCCTCCGCAAATTTCGAAACCGTCGACGGTCGAGCACATCATTGATGGTCGAACACATCATTAATCTCGTTCCCAAATCGCGCCAGCGGTAATTAGCGCGTACAAACCATTCGGTGACATCTTGTACCAAGACGATGTCAGTGACTGGAGATTTCACGCAGTATAAGGTTTCAGATTTTTTGAAAAGATAGCGGGTAGCAGTCGAAAAGCAAAGCAGCCAATTCGGTTTACTGGTCAGTGGCGTAGTTAGCGGTCCCGCTGTCCCGCCGGGCGGGACTAACAATTTCCAAAAAAATGTGTAAATGTTTTATAGTGAAGCCAAAACCACTGCTAATTTGCTTATTCTGAAAATTTAAATATAATTATGGTAATTTTTCAGCGCTTTCATTTGTCATTTATTTAAAGTTTACGCAATATTGCTGTCTGCTCTTTGACCTCTTTGTTGTCTAGTAACTGATACCCTGTAGAATTAGCTAATTTCCACGCAATTTATTGCTTACTCACGCTATTCGTGAATCGCATGTCTCGTGTTCCGCTGATTTTCATGTGGCGGGATACGCAGTAGTAGTAGAACTTTATTTATCCACGCTGACCCCGTCAACCGTAGCTGATTTCCACGGGGGGCGTGTGCCAGAAAATTATTTTACATGCAGAATATGATAAGGATAAGCTAAGCTATTACAGTAATATATAAATTTAAAAGATATAACAAATGTTTTGAGCTATTTACAGGTAAGTTATATTTACAAAGGTTACCAAGCACTAATGTGAGCAGCGATTTTATTTCGAAAGGAAGAAAGTGACTTGTTTTCCCTAATTTCTTTTGGTATAGAATTCCAAATGTTTGCTCCGTCGTACATAAAACTATTTTTCATGCTATTTGTACGTGGTTTTGGTAAATAAAGACCACTTGAGACATCCCGAAGGTGGTAATTAGTTTTCTCACTCTTAAACGAAAATAGATTTGTGAATGATTTTGGGCCCATTTTGTTTAATAACTTATACATCATTCTTGCTTTAGTTTTCTTCCTTTCAGTTTGGAGTGGCTCCCAGCCCAAAGTACGTAACGCAATCGTATAATCTACGTCATTGCTTATATTCAGAATAATTCTTGCCGCTCTATTTTGCAGTTTTTGCAGTCGTTTTGATTGAGTTTCGCCAAATACATCCCATACTTCACAGCAGTAGTCAAAGTACGGACGAACAATAGTGTTATATATCAAAATAAGTGTATCTTGGTCAACAAATGGTTTGATCCGACGAATAGCAGAGATTCCTGCTGTAACTTTTTTGCAAATATTTTCGGTATTACTTTTCCAAGATAAATGCTGGTCAATTGTTACTCCTAGAGTTTTGCATTCATGAACTTGTTTAATTTGTATATTTAGTTCAATGTAAACATTTGGGCAAGAATCAGAAATATTTTTGATCATAGGTTTAGAGCCAATCAACATAAACTCTGTCTTAGCTACATTGAGGCTAAGTTTATTGGCTATTAACCATTTTCTAAGGTTCTCTAAATCAGAATTTACTGCAGTCTCTAGGTCAGTCATAGAATTTGCTGAAGCAGTCAAATTTGTGTCATCAGCAAACAACCGCGGTTTTGTTTTGTTTAGACAATGTGGCAAATCATTGATGTACAACAAAAAGAATAATGGCCCTAATATAGAGCCTTGTGGTACACCACATTTAATCAAGCGCTCAGATGAAAATGAGGTTTTTATTTGGCACTTCTGGTTTCTGTTTGTGAGATAGGATTTGAGCAAAGTTAGAGCTTGTCCTTTTATTCCATAGAGCTCTAATTTGTTCAGCAGAATTTGATGATCAACAGTATCAAAGGCTTTCTTCAAATCAATTAAAACTACTAGGTTAAACCTTTTTCTGTCTAGATTTACATACCAATCATTAGTACAGTCTAGTAGTGCACTAGCTGTAGAGTGAAATTTTCGAAATCCAAATTGGGAATCACTGAGAATCTCAAATTTTGTTAAATAGTTATACAGTTCATCATACAATATCCGTTCCATAATTTTACTAATGGCCGGTAAAACTGATATTGGTCTGTAGTTTCCAGGAATACTACGCTGGCCATTTTTATATAGGGGCATCACTCTAGCAACCTTCCATTCATCAGGAAAAGAAGATAAAGTAATAGCCTGATTGAAAATAAGTGTCAGTGAATCTGAGATAACAGGTGCAGCTAATTTAATAATTTTGGAAGAGATTTTATCGATGCCAGTGGCTTTATTGTTGGAAAGTCCATGCAAAAGATGAGAGACATGACTGACAGTAACAGGTTGGAAAGCCGCAAATTCTGATTGAGCATTTTTGACATAGGTTTCAAAATTGGAATTTGAATAATCTATCTTATACAAGAAATTCTGGTTTCTGGTTGGATAATTGGCGCAGCGCATGCCCAGAACGGTTGTTTTTAATGCCGAAGTCCGGCTATTTTATGAAGGCGGAGGTTGTTAATATTCAAACCTTTCTGACGAAGCTTTCTGCGCGAGTATTCACGACTGTGACGGTGGTAGGTCATCATATTACTATTCATATCATATTTGATGTTGCTTTTGTGATTTGTATACAATGGCTTCAACGAGCGTGACGAGCCTTATGGAAAGCCACAGCGGAATTTCATTTCGTTCGTTGCTTTTAGCATTATATATGTGGTGCTTTTATCGTTATACGAGGTGCTCTTTACATCATACGCGGTGCTACACTTCGAGTTCGAGCATTATACGCGACGATTTTGACATATATCAAGATATATGGGCTACACGCAACATTGTACGAGGTACTTTTAACATTATACGTGGTGCTTGAGACATTTATTTTTGATAATATACGCGGTGTTTGAGACATACGAGGTGCTTTTAGCATTATACGCGGTGATTGAGACATTATACGCGGTCGGTATAACGTTATACGCAGTACTCAGTGCAGAAGGCAATATTTTTGCCCAGCACAGCACTTCTCTGAGCTCACACAGATCTTCTCTGGGCCAGATGGCATTTTTTGTATTTTACGAAGCGAAAATACTCCTGTTAGAGGTGTATGGAAACTTTGTTTAGTGGCATCCTTCCACCCTCGAAATCGCAGGAAATGCCATTTCCGCGGTTCTAGATTTCAAATTTTCTCGGGGGGGCATGCCCCCGAACCCCTCTAGGAAGGTCGCACCTTCGGTGCGAGGGGTCCGCCTTCGGCGGGACGATTTTTTTCAGCCAGCTACGCCACTGTTACTGGTTACTGCTCTTCGCACAAGTGTTGCAGTAACTATCTTCTAAAATTTACTAGATTATCTTAACTTTGAAGTTTCTAAGTGTCTTCACTAATTAAAACTCTTGTGAAGTGAAATATAGAGAACCATCTCAAAACTAGATACAACAGAGTGACGTGGAAAATACCAACATTAGCAACAATATTATACATGCTATTTACAGTTAGCTTTAACATAATGTCTATCTATAATAATAACATATCTATAAACCTTGCACTTTTGATAAGTCCACGGCTAATGCTAAAATTGAAATATGATATATGCTGTCGAGTGGTTCAAGTAAAAGTGAAATGTTAGTTATAGTATTAGCTGTGCGGTTCCATTTTTACTTGAACCACGTGCACTCATATGTATATTGAGCAATAGAAAACATATCAAGCTTTCTTTAATGCCCTGTCACACTATTGCGTATGAGAGAAACGTGTGAGAAGCGTATATACCGGCGTATAAGTGATATTTTTCATGCGCTGGCATACGCTAGTACGATACGCAATAGTGTGACAAGGCCTTTAGTGACAAATCTTAGCGTATCGTGTTACTGGCGAGCACGTCTCCGATTGTGCCATTATATTTAATTTGGCTTAAAATTCGTTTCTTCGTTCTCGTGACTTCGTACGTTAAAAATACGGTAGGTTACTTGATGAATATAAAAAATTGACGCACGGAACATATTATAACGCTTTTTTGACCAAGTTACAGCAGTTGTTTAGCCGTTTACACAATATAAGCCAGTTTTATCGGCCTTTAAACACAACTAAGCCCACACTTAATGTGAAAAATCTGTTTATAACTAATTTCTGAACTCTTTTGTAGAATGAATAATAACCGAATTGGCTGCTTTGCATGCCATCTTTTCAAAAATCTGAAACCTTATACTATCATACTGCGTAAAATCTTTACTGGCATCGATTGGTTTAAGGTGTCACCAAATGGTTCCACGCGCTAATCACCTCAAAAGCAATCTGGGAACGAGATTAATGATGTGTTCGACCATCAATGATGTGCTCGACCGTCGACGGTTTCGAAATTTGCGTCGCCTCCGGGCTTCTGTAACTCCCGATGTTTTGCAAACATCTCTTAGTATATATATAAATTCAAAAGTGCCCTTTCACGAAAATCTGCCCCCCTTGCCTTCACATCGTTCGGGTTCGTTCCGGCGTCCCTGCCTGTAAACATTATATGTTTCTCATACAGACACTTTAGAAGTAAATTCTTCACCTTATTATACAGTATAGGATGTTCTTTTATAAAGCCTTTTGTTATGAAAATCATGCTTAAATTTATGTTATTAATTTTGTTTAGAACACCTGCAGCTTTGCATTCCAGAATACTATCAAGTCACGCTCATTTTACATGGTGCTCGTAACTATCACCGTAACTCTTTATCAAATTTCTGTCTACAAAATCCTCAACATTCTGACATTTTTATGTTTCCGGATGATAGTCTGGAAGTGCGCAAATTGGATATCGAATTGCATGTTAGTCATTGTATTTGGGCGAACAAATAATTAAAGATATGTAAATTTCCGAGTATATTCCCTGATTTTATACTTATAGTTTTATTATGATAGATAAAGACGTTCTAATCAAGAAATGTACAACCCTGGTTTTGAAGATGAGTTGTATAAAGATCGAAACCAATCATTTCGAAAAGCTGTTCGCGCTCCAAAGAAAAACCAACGATATTTAGCCGATAAAAGTGATCTTTATGATCCTCAAGACACCAGCACGGCGAGTGATGTCGGCTACACAACTACCTGGTGGACGAAATATAGCTGGAAACGTTTCTTACCATGGGCACCAAGAGCGAAAGGGTACGTGTCTAGACTGATATTATTCACATACTGTTTCCCAGTGCCCAGTGTCATTAAATTTACACACACTATTTCATACTTACAGCCATGCGGTAATAACGTACTGTCGAACTCGCCCACAAAAATTAAACAGGGTGTCAGGGACGTTTGATTGAACTGGAATAACCTAGACGGACAGACCTCACGCACAGCAATAAAAATTGTGAGATTTTTACAATACTAGCTTTATATATTTGGCTGTTATTATATCGTGCAGTGACGACTCTGCAGATGCAGTGTCTCATTGACATTGTTATCATTTTGCATGCATATTTGTGGTTAAATCGCCAGTCGAGCAGTAGCTAGAACGTATTACTTTGATCACATTTGGAAACCAATATACATTTATTTGTCTGTTCAAACTATATGACTGTTATGATACACAGATTACGTCATTTATATGGTAAGGACCACAGGCACTGAGTTTATTCCGAGTCAGGTATGTTTATTATTCAAGTGCTGCGGAATGCAGCTTGTCGGAACAGTTATGTATATTGATTATTGGCTTCATTTATTATCGATTGCTTTTCACAATGAAACGATTTACAATCACTTCGTTCTTTAATAGAAAACCTCGTAGATCGAGGAGGTCTTCGTATTTTTGACTCAATATTATCCTGTGGCTGTGATATTATAGAGTATATCAGATTCGCCTATATAGTCATAGTCATAGAGACCGTAATTAATACGATCCTTGTTTGTTTGACGATATCGCCACTTGTTAACAACAGTATATAATTGTTTTGTGGAAAGGTCACGTTACCTGGAATACTATTTAGGGATACATGAACTGATGAAGTCACGTAGACTTTCGCAAAGTCCTTCGTCTTTGTTAATAGAACGAAGGAATTCTCAAGGAAGTAATTTCTTGAAGAGTAAGATAAATACATTTGAACAAGCTTTCGTTGGTATGGATGCACTGAGCTAGCTGAAAAAATATGAGGAGAATTTCGACGTTCGAAATTCTCCTTATATTTTCCAGGTAGCTGCATCCCTACCAACGAAAGCTTGTTCATTTGATTGGCACTACCTACACTGGCAAAGACAGTTCAGGATTATTTTCATACCTTTATAAGTCATATCCGCTTTTATCCAAAAGGATAAAACGCGGATATGGTCCGAAAACGTAAGTCGTGCGTCCCCCATCCGTCCGTATCCGCGTTTTATCCTACCCCCGGATCGTCATCAGTGCAAATAATTTCTATTTTCTCACCTCATTTGACTGAAAGTAATGAACACAATCGTCACAATTACTTCACAACACGTCACAGGAATTGAAATTTGAAAATAAGTCTTGTAATGTTTCAAATCCGACTATAAGGACTGGACTACATTTCAAGTCCGCGCAATTTGATCACGCCCGAGGCGAAGCCGAGGACTGGATCAAAATACGAGGATTTGAAATCTAGTTCAGTCCGAATTGGAGGATTTGAAATAACATCTCATACGAATAAATCACTACTTAATTAATTTTGATCCAGTCCAAGGACTGAATCAATTTTGACCCAGTCCTAGAACTGGATCAATATATTTCATCAGGTATTCAGTATTATCATGTGAGCAAAATAAAGCAATATGGTTGGCTAATTTACTCATGAATTATTAATGAGTTTGAGATATATCGATGACGGTCGGGGCTTACAGATCGAAACCTTCGCCAAATAAATAGGGAGTTTACGATCTACGACGCGGCCGGCTCGACGACGCGCTTTCAAAACAAAGAAATTTGGTGTTTCCATAAACAATAGTATTATGTGTTTTATCGCCATGCAAACCTACAAAGAATTTACAAAGAAATTTGTCATGCAAGACAAAAACTGTCAATAATTTGTGGTCCCATGAGCATTGTCAACCGCGTTGTCATTCTCAACACAAAGTTAAAAAAGCATTATTACGTCTTTCAGGCAACGCGAAAGCTTAATGCGACACAAGAGGTATTACTAAAAGTCGAAATTACAGCAAACATTGCATCGCTTTAGCCGAACGTGGCATTTTGTAAGGTTATTTGAAAGCGTCAAATATTTATTACAGTAATCGAATTGCTTAGCGCTCATTCTTGAGCTAAAATTTAGACCGCGTCGTTGAGCCGGCCGCGTCGTAGATCGTAAACTCCCTAATAGCAAATAAATAAACGCGGTTCCGCAAAATTATGTCAGATTAACTGATTAACGCTTTGGTGGCGTAGTTGTCAGAGCAAGCGCCTTTCACTTCCGAGTTCGTGGGTTCGATTCTCGCTACGAATTCATGTGATAAGAGTCCGTCAACGCTCAGCCGAAAGTCGTGGGTTTTCCTGGGTGTCCGCTTTGACAGGGTGGGAATGTAATATCACAATTGTTGTGAAGGTAATATACAAATAATGAATGTTTATTCGTGCAATGGTAAGAATATTTTCATGTCGAGGTGAAAGATGGAATGTTCCATTCAACGAGGCCAAGTTTGAAGTTGAATGGAACATTCCATCTTTCACGGAATGAAAATATTCTTACCATTGCACGAGTAAACATTCATTATTTGTTTTATATAATACCAAAATAGACCAATAGATTCGTATGAGAAGCATTTTGACGGATGCGATTTATCGAAAACACAAAGAGTGCAATGGAATAAAACGTATAGTACAATTGCACTCGCAAAGAGTGCTTTCATAATGTTTAACATGATGATTATGTAAAAACTCCGTATTTGGTCAGCTATTGAGTTAAATGATATGACTAGAAGTTACTATCGCAAGGAAAGTGCTGCCTCACCCCCAAGGGATCAAAGGCAGCATGCGCAATTTGCTAAATAAGGGGCTGTTTATAAGAACCCGTTTTGCCAGGACGAGATGTGAGGCGGGATGATTTCGATGTATTGAAAGGAGTCACAGTGCACAATTCAGCAACAAAAAACTTCATTATTTTCTAGCAATGATTCAACAGTCACCTGTTAGTCGATCAGAAACCATGAATCTTTTAATTTAAATAAATAATATGTTTCGCTCAACATTTCATTTATAAAATTAACATTGAGCCACATTATATTTTAAACCTTGTTATATACAGAAGAGTTCAATATCTTGTTGGTTTGTATTTTGACGCCATCTTGGTTGATTTTCAAGCCACTAAACTACATTGAAGTTTGTATGTCATCAATACATCGTCGATATTATCTATCGAACTAAATTTTCAAGGATCAACATTAGCGCTGTACTAAAAATTAACACTGAATTTGAATATATATTAATTGACATTCCCTAAAATGGGCTTTTCAATGACAATTTACATAAATTTTAAAAGAAATTATAAATTATCGACAAAATTTACAACAATCTTATCATTAATGATTAATTAATACAGGTTATTACGTGAACTAAAATTATACTATATATTATATTGTAGTTTATGAGTTAAAAGTTGAAAAGAAAGACATCGCAAGAATTGTCTTAAGTTTCGTCTTAAAATAATTCAAATCACTAATTGATTTCAGCTCTGTATCTAGACCATTCCATATATTAGTCCCTCGGTATTTGAACGATCTTTGACCGATCAATGTCCTAAATTTTGGAATATCCAGGTCTCCATTTCTTCTAGTACATGTATCTCGGTTATGAATTCTGTTTCGTTGTTCAAAATTATCACATAAATACTGTGGAGCTTTGTCACTCATGTGTTACCCTGGGTTTATTTCCATGAAAATACACGATTCTATTTACGATTTTATAAAACCAAACGCTTTTATTCATCAAATATGAAAGAACCATGCTCTCTTAACAGGTCATTTGACATTCACCAGATCAGGACCTTCGCTAGGAATGTCTCCATTAATCTCTAGCATTCTTTGCGCGTGGGTCGATGACTTAGCATATTGCGGTAGGCCGACTCCCTTCCGTATCGCCCATGCATCCTTGACGTAGTTTATATAAATTGTGTAGTCATTGTAAACGCCCTATTATTTAGACTATAAATATAGAGAGATTGTCCTTAATAAAGCAGATTCTAACTGAGTGTGTTGAAGTGATTATTGGGATCCCGGGACGCTACAAATTAAAGCAATATGTCTTCAAGTATTTTACCGGGACGATTTGACAATGGTGATTTCGAGTGTTGGTTGCGCGAGTTTGACGCGTGTTGTGACGCGAATGGCTGAAAAGTAGCTGGGGAGCGCGACGATAAGATTTTGAAACTGCCAGCGTTCCTTCGTGGTAAAGCTGCCAGTCATTTGTATGCAATTCCAGCCGAACGACGTACGAAATACAAAGATGCCGTCGCTGAACTGAAGAAATCCTTATGTCCTGCTGCCCAACGCGAGACGTTTTACGCTTTATTCGAAGGTCGTGCCCTCCGAACAGGTGAAGATCCGGGCGTCTACAAATGGGAGTTAGAAAATCTCCTCGCCAAGGCTGATCCCGAGTTGTCTGATGACGCCAAAACAGCCTTAATTCATCGACAGTTCATGAAAGGTCTCCCCAATATTTTAAAACTCAAATTGCTGGAACATAATCCAACTCCAAACCTCGACGAGATGCTGTCATTTGTTCAACGATACCGTGCTGTCGAGGGCTTTGCAGCCCCCATAATCGCTAGCGAGTATCCTTCCGCTAGTTCAACGATGCCTGCGCCCGATAATAACTCGCAATGGTCGCAATTGATTGTAAACGCCCTATTTTTTTAGACTATAAATATAGAGAGATTGTCCTTAATAAAGCAGATTCTAACTGAGTGTGTTGAAGTGATTATTGGGACGCTACACTACGACTGGTTCTGGTCTCTGGGCCGATCTGTATTCTTCGAAGTTTATGTCTGACTAGCCATCTTCGTCCGTGTCGGATTCTCGTGCTTCATTCATTGCTTCATCAGTAACGTGGGATGTTTTGACAGGTCGCTTTTTCCGATTTCTACTATTCCTTTTGTTCTCTGTGTTCCCTGTGTTTGCTGATTGTTGCTCCAAAAAGTGACGGGATAGAAGCAGGTTTCTATGAAGAACACGTACTCTTCCTTCTGCTCCTTCCGATTTTACTTTGTACACTGGGCTATCTTGACCTTTTCGTTCGACGACAATGTGTATCTTGTCTTCCCAATAAGCTCTAAGCTCTGCAGGTCCCCCACGTTCGCTCAAGTTACGAACCAGGACTCGATCACCTGGATTAAGTGCCGAACTATGTGCTCTCTTTCGCTTTCTCTCTCCTCGTGTGTGAAGTTGGTGCCCCGTTCTCTTTCTAACGATCTCGTACGCATCTTTCATAGCCGTAGCCCACTGTTCCACATACTTTGGATAACTTACACTCTGCGATAGATGACACAGTCCAAATATCTGGTCAATAGGTAGTCTTGGTGCTCTACCAAACAATAGGAAGAATGGTGCGAATCCTGTTGCATCGTTCCTCGTACAGTTATACGCATGAACGACTTTGTCTAGACTGTCTGCCCAATTCGACTTCTTTTCTTCTGGCAGAGTTCTGAGCAAGGTCTGGTTGAATCGTTCGGCCTGCCCATTTCCCTCGGAGTGGTATGGCGTTGTTCTAGAATGTTGTACTCCACAAAGTTCCTCTAGATGTTTAAACAGATTGTTCTCAAATTCACCGCCTTAATCGTGAGTTCTAGCAGATTTGTTACGGGTTGCATATGCCTGGGCGAATCGGATGAAGTCATCTACAACGACCAAGCGCTGAAATTACGCTGTGGCATTGGTCAAGCCGAAAGGTATACGCACCCACTCGTATAACCCCCAAGGGGTTACAAAGGCAGTCATAGGTCTACTTTTTACATGCATAAACCCTTGGTGGTATGCTTTGCCTTGGTCCACTAAAGAAAACCACTTGTTTCCACCCAACCCATGTAGTGTATCCTATACTCTCGGTAATGGGTGTCTATCTGGAGTAGTAGTTTGTTCAATTCGCGATAATCGACACATAAACGTAATTCACCATTCTTTTTACGAACACATACGACGGGATGAATATGGGGACTTTGACTTCGTTATCCCCCCGCGGTTTAGCAGATCTTCGATATATTGTTTGACTTCGGGGTACAAAGGTCGTGGAATAGAGTTGTAGGTTTTCTGGACTGGTGTTTGGTCCTTCATATTCAGTTTCAATTCAAGTTCCTCTATGCAGCCTATATCGTCATCGGATGTTGAGAAGGATTCTTTTTCTTCTTCGAGCATTTGTTTCACCATGACCCGTTGTTGTGTTGTAAGACCACTGAGGTCTAAATCGTTGATGGGATTATAGTCATTATCTTTGTTTTCTGTAGTTTGTGACGTTTGCACTCCATCTTCCATTGTAGGCATTGTGCAGTTCTTTCCAGGTTCAGAATAAACCGAGTTAACAGCTTGTGTCTTACCCAAGTCTACATCCTTTAGACGAACTTCCTGTGGTGTTACTGATTTTACTAACTGTAATGCTCTCAAAACTGTTTGTTTGTTAAGTGTAAGGTCATGATTGCTGGTGTTAGAGACATTAATTTGGACTCGACAGGATGACCCATGGGGAATGGTTAGCAGTTCTTCAGTTATTTGCAAACCACTTGGCCATGACTGTTCACTACTATAGGTTCAAAAAGTACTGGTATCCGCTTTTCGACAGGTCCTATATTTGCACGGCACTTAATACTAACAGTTCTTTTGCGAGGAACAACTACGTCCTGTTTAACGGTCTTCACGAAACACAGGTGCTCAGGTGATGGGGCTTGAATCAAACTCACAAGGGATTGTATCTTTTCACAATTAACATCAGGAAATGAAGCTGCCCATTCCATCACAATTTGATCTGGTACCTCGTCGTTCTTAACTAATTCTTCTATTACATTATTCCCAATGATTGGATAATCAAGCGTTTCGTGAGTCACTAACATTGGCACCAGAATTGTCCGATCCGTGCTTGATGTTTCCAATTTAAACTCAACTACAACAAAACCTTCATATGGCATGGGTGTCCCATTAGCAGTTTTTAAGTCAAGTTCTGTCCCATCATTAAATAAGGATTCAATGTTCCTAATCTCAATCAACTGATCAAATCTCGACTCAAGACTCAAATCCTCGGATTTTCTCGAGAAATACACGGCATTGATTCTCATCTTCAATCTGGGCTACTTGCTCCTCAATTTCTCTTCGAGTAGTCGAGTAATACTAAGTTTTGATTTTCCTTGATATTTCACCTCGTCCAATTTGAGAAATACTGCTAGTTTAATCAATATACCTTCGCTTACTTCGCACAGTGTCTTTTCTAATTGTAGCTGAAGCTCTTCCACGTCCATTGCCATATTTAAACTTTAGCACAGTCACAAAAATTATCCAAGATTCATACGGTACGAACTATTTCACGAATATTTATATACACAAAACTTCATTTTCCCATCAAAATTGCATATTTACTTGTAATTATATCCCACCGCTGCCACCAAATGTTACCCTGGGTTTATTTCCATGAAAATACACGATTCTATTTACGATTTTATAAAACAAACACTTTTATTCATCAAATATGAAAGAACTAACAGTTTTCTCTCGTATGGCCTTATGGGCCACATTTGGCACAGAATGCCCTAATTATTATCCGGGTTACACATGCACTTAGATGTTAATAACGCATCTCTATACAATAGGTGCAACTTCGTACCCTGGGTCGTTCCTCTTGGCGAGAGGAGAAAAGACTCTGGTAGACGCTGGTCACGTGATCTGCTAAAATCTACCAGCTTTTTAATTAGCAATCCAAAATTAGGTCAATAAATGTTTCATATTTGAATAATTTTTCTGTATGATTGTCGTATAGAAATCCAAGATAGTTAATTAGAAATCTGCCAGATTTTAGCAGATCACGTGACCAGCGTCTACCAGGGTCTTCTCCACAAGAGGAAAGACCCTGGGTACGAGGTTGCAATAGGTGTTCTTTGATTGACAACCACCCTAGCGCGTTTAATGTAGGCACCCCTGTGTTTTTTCGGGCTGCGCAATTTTGGATTAATTGAATCTTTTTGATATTGCTATGGGACTATACTGTTGAACAACAGTTAATTTTACTCATGACTAATGTATCGATGATTGTAGCCAGTAGTGTTGACTGATCAAAGTTGTGTTTCACCCGACCAATCTGACGCAATTTTGAGATACACGATGAGGATCAGTGCTTGTATATGTTTGTCGTACATACGTTAGATGAGAATCCCAAAGCAAAATCCTTAACTTATATGTCACAGGTGTACGATTTCCCCCTATAAAATTATTATGGACGGGAGATTCCAATTGACCACATTTGGGCCGAAAGTGGTGCATTTGCCCGTGCGTAATGCAAATTAATACAAAATTTGCAAATTTCGTAGGGCTATATTTTCCTCATTTTACAACATTTCGCAACCAAACTTTGCAATTTTACTCATTTTAACATGCTCTTTCTAGCTGTGGTGATGGATTTTGTTCTTCTTGCCGAGATCAAAATTTAGTCTATAGCTGGAATCATCCGTTAACCAAGATGCCGCCTATTAAAATGGCACTAGTATGCATGTAGTGTATGTATGTAGTATACATTACATACTTGTGGTATAGTAGTATATGTATTTTGAAAACCATTACTGTACATATTTTATTTGTTAATTACCTCCGCCAGGAGGTTATGTAATCATCTGGGTTTGTATGTGTGTGTGTGTGTATGTGTGTGTGTGTGTATGTGTGTGTGTGTATGTGTGTGTGTTTGTCTGTGAGCACGATAACTCAAGAAATACCAAACATATCCGTACGAAATTTTGTGAGTGCATTTCCCATCGGCTACGGAAGAACTGATTAAAATTTGGTTGAATTTGGTTAAAAATTGAATGAGAAATAACAAAAGTTTGTCTTGCTTTTCCCGGTCAATTAAATAAAACTTTATACTGAATGCGTAATTAGGACGTGCATAATATATGCACCAGCCATTCAAATTCTAATAACAATAGATTACTTCAATATTTTGCGCGTAGGCGGAGGTATGCAGTCTCTGAGTGCCCTCTAGTTTTCATTGCAATTACTTAACCGGATTTCCTTTTTAACAGTCACCCTGTTAAACACCCTTTGGACGACAGTGGCTTTATTTCCTTTATATTTCTGTCATGGGCTACGCCGATGATAATGAAAGGTTTTAAGAAACCTCTGGAGACATGCGACCTGGGCAAACTATCACGAAGCGATTCAGCGGCCGTAAATTATAGACGATTTGAACGATTCTGGGCTGAAGAAGTGAAAAAGAAAGGAATAAAAGATGCTTCAATTGGAAGAGTGATTTATAGAACTGTGAGAACAAAAGTCATTGTTAGTGCACTATTGTATGTGCTGATGTTACTCATTATGTTCGTTGGTCCGGTACGTTTATTTTAAATCGACTACTATTCTTTTGTTGTCTTTTGTTGTCTTTTGTATGTCAATTTAATTTAGATGTTTTTAGTATTTGTGATATTTTATCTTTTACTTTCTTTCATTTCTTATTTTATCTTCCCCTTCTTACGCCATGCATGATGCATGTTTTTACGCCTCTATATAGTAAGACACGATAACTGTATTTGATTAATACATATTATATATTACGTTACGCGAAAGTATCTACCCAGGGTACCGTGTATAAAAAGATTAATAATACAAGCCATATTTTGCGCTGTGGATGAGTAAGGTGAAGTGGAATGTGGTAGAATGAGGTGGAGTGAGGTGAGAGTATTTCATATCTTTGATAAATCAATATTTATTCTAATTCAAAATGGTCACATTTTCATAATTTGAAAAAATTGACATGACTTATTACACTGGCCTGTAGGCCAAGTGTCTTAAATCCCTCTTTTTCTGTTTTTTTTTTTCGTAGTCGAGAAATCGAGTTTGCGTTAGCTCATCGCAGGCTCAGGGTGCAACGATTAAGCCAAAATGCCGTCGATTTCCTCGGTTCCATAATTTGAATAGTATAGTATTAAGTTTTTACGTATTTATGTACGTAATAGCCGACTCATGCCATGCTTGTGGTACAAGCGTATGGGCTAATAAACGAAAAATGTACGCACGCGCACAATTCCGAACTCCAATGGTGGCTTTTCACAGAGTGATCAAACTATATTTTACACAGTTTCGTTGAATTTTCAAAGAATTGTGCCGGTTTCCTATGGATTTTACGTTGTGTCGTATTCTGGACTTTCTTGCGTGTTGAATTAATGTGTTTTTCTTTGTGTAACAACTCGAAAACCACAAAATTTGGACCCAGCGAATTTGTACAATATATAAAAGGATATTTAAACAAGGACAAGTTAAAGGTTTGACAGTTAGACTTTTTAATAAACAGCTAAAAATATACGTCGTGGACTCATGACATTCGTTGTGTACTTGTGTTAATTTTTGCGTCGCAATCTGGACTTTCTTGCCTGTTGAATTCTGTTAGAACGCACTGTTCGAAAGGTCGTACGCTATTGGCTGAACGATACTATTTGGTGGTCGTGGTGGTCGACCAATCAATAATGCGTTTTCTATTATGACATCATGAATTGACAGTTGATCAATACGAGTAGGCTTATAGGTCGTTTTATAGCTTATAGTATATGGCTCCAAAGTATAGTTCGTACTGGTTTATATAAGTTGGAAATGTGTTGGTTTATATAAGTTAGGAATTATATAAGTTAGGGATGTGAAGTTTTCGTAAAACCAACAAAGATTGCGTGAGGTTCGTCAAATAGAAGTAGATCGCGTGAGGATTGTCTTTAGACTCTACAGGAATGTACTATCAGTATGACAGCATTCGTGTCATATTTCACTACACAGCCGTATTAAATCATATCGAAATATTTTGCGGCTTGTAATCAGTTGTATTGAAACTTCCAAGCCTTTCATTATGTTTATATTTTAAAAACTGAAATACATAATGAAACAGCTTATAATTATATGTTTGAAATGCAGGGGCAATAAACATGCATGAACATCAATATGAATAAACATGCATGATACATGCATGTATGATGTATTTGACATATACGATATAGCATGTGATACATATGCCCCCGTATAAGCCCGTATTCTAAAAGCTCACTCACATAACTCACTCACTTTCTGAAGATACTGTTAACAAATTAGAGTCATTATTCTGTGAACAAAATGATGCAGATAGCAGTTTAGTTGATATTGATGTGAATGTTAACAATTTCTCTGAAATATTATTTGAATCATCTCAGAAAATACTAAAACGTAAAAAGCAAATTAATAAAAACAAGAACAAAAAACAAAGACAGAAATGGTACGACGAAAACTGTCATACGCTCAAAAAGAATCTAAGAAATTTGGGAAAATTACTGACAAAGTATCCCAATGATCCCTTTTTACGCCATAATTTCTTCGCAAAAAGAAAAGAATATAAAAAGTTAATAAAGAAAATGAAGAGAAAGTTTCATAATTCATTGCTGGAGAAAATTCAAAATTTATCTGATAGAAATCCTAATGAATTTTGGAAGTTAGTTAATACAATAAAGACAAACAAATCTTCGGGAACCTGTAATGAAATATCGCCAACCGAGTGGTTTGATTATTTTGAAAATTTAAATAGTTTCAATGACCATGGTGACAAGAATAGTCATGGAGTACAAATTGTAAAAGACTATAATATTTGGGCAGCGACAAAGAATGAAACGCTTGACAAACCAATTTCTTCTGTGGAAATTTATAATTTATCAAAAAAGTTAAAAAACAAAAAAGCTTCTTCAGTGGATTCTTTATCCAATGAAATAATCAAATTAGCAGTCAAAGCCTTACCATTATATTTTGTTAAAATGTTTAACACCATTTTATCAAAAGGAGTATTTCCATCAGCTTGGGCTAATGGCAACATTGTTCCAATATATAAATCGGGCAATATACGTTTGACCCTGCATGGTAATTATAGAGGAATATGTATCAGTAGTTGCTTGGGGAAATTTGTCACTTTAATAATGAATACTCGTTTAAATGAATTCCTGGAAGAGAATAACGTAATAAATAAGTAAAATAAGTAATACTGGGGAATAACGTAATAAACACAACTATATATACTGTATCTTCCATATACTATCCGCTAACATATTTTACAAGCACGGTCAACCCAAGACTCTGTGAGGTTTGCTATAGCCCCAATACACAGTCACGTCATTATTCAATGTTTCATTAAAAATCACAACATCTCTCCAATACCATCCATCTATCTCCCTGATGTTATATTTTATTTTTGTTGAACCAATGAGATGGTTTGTCCAAAGCCATTTTACATGCCGTTCGACCCATGTTCGCCTTTCTTTACAGTCATTTCTAATGATATTGACCCAATATCATACCACGTTGAAACGCGAAACTGGCTCGGACTGCTTCGAACTGCTTTGGACAATCAATCCTTATTATATATATTATTTATTTTTTGCCAGACCCTGGGCACCACGTTTTTTGTGTTTTGTAAAACATATAGGATTATTAGTCTAGGGCATCTAATTAGGTTTACCCTTTTGGCATAACTAAATGTTCTGCCCGATTCCATAAGCCGCAATTTTGGTAGATTGTACAACATCTACCTATTCTACCTATCAATAGTTAGATACATCACATAAACCATAGGCTTCATTACATATTTCACGGCATGGTTTGCTTTCAAGACCCTGTGAGTATGTACATAATCTAACTGCACGAATAAACCTACAATCCTCACACAGACTTAGCTACATGTGATGGACAGATTACGGAAACAGTACACAGTATAAAGCAAGGATTAAGTTTACAATTTCTCAATGCATGGTCTACTTTCCAGACCCTGATAAGATAAATTTAAGAAAACCATTTATTCAAATGAGATACAGGAAAATTACACAACACAAATCACAGGTCTTGTTACCAATTCTAAATTTGTAATATCGCAGTATGGTCAAATCCGACCCTGTGATAAATTCAGGTGCATCATCAAATTACACCTATATCAATTACCAAGTAACAACTTTACATACAGTACATGCTAACTTCAATTATGATATTTCTACAATGGATTTACATAAAAAGACACAAAACAACGCACGCATAATACGCGTGCACCTTTTATACAATATTTTGCGGCATGGTCTACTTTCAAGACCCCCGTTGAATATAAAAGAAATCCATTAGATAAATAATGATTACAAGCAAACAGGTCCAAGACGCATGTAGAGGTCCTATTACCTATTCCAAAATTAAAATATTGCGGCCCATGTCGATTCTGTACGTTGGTCGGCATGATTTGCACGTGCATCGATCGAGCTATAAACGTGGCGCGTGCGTGTGAGTAAAAGCCCGATATTTTGAAAAATTCAAAATAAATATTCCTACTCTGTGCCATATTCAAACGAAACTTTGTACATGAAAGCGCTTGAATACAAGATGTATTTTACCCACATTGACTCTGAGCAAATTCTGAAGAGTTACTAAAGAATACTAATGAATACATTGCCTGTTAATGGGTTAATAAGAGACAAATTAATTGGCAGATGTGTTTGTTAACCCATTTACTGACAGTACTCTGCCACTAACAAGTAAAATCGTCTGGCGTTACACAGTGTAAATTGGTCTGGCGTTAGCCAGAGTTAATACTAATTCAATTCAGTTCAATTTATTGATGAACGAGAAACTTAAATGATGAACGAGAAACAAATTTGTGCAGGAAACATTGGGGATATAACCGAGAATTGTCTAGAAGTACACATTTTTGCATTCATGATCAATTCATATGCCAAAAAGGCAGCACTTTCCTTGCGATAGTAATTCCTAGTTAAAGATTTGCACCATTACGTCTCCCGAAAAGGTCTTTTATTATTTTTCAAGATTTGTATTCCTGCCTTTTGCACCATACCACGTATGTCGTTATCTTCAGGCCAGTGTGAACGCCTGAGCAGGCGTCTTGTCTTTTTTTAAAATGAAGAACAAATAATTCAGTATACTACAGGAAACCATTTTATACAATTAAATTTAAATATTTAATAGGCTCCAAAAATTGATCTCTCCTTTCGGAGATAACGCTATCTTCCCCCCACTGTGTTCAGAGATTCCTTACACATGCATGACTCATTGCACCAACATATAGCTCTAAACGCCATCCTATAGACTTCATCAGACATCAACTCCACTTGAGCAATATTGCCAAAAGCCTGTGGAGTGATCATTTCTCAGCCATATGTCTAATTTATTTTCATTTGACAAATTTAGACGGTTTTACTTAATTTTGTAAACTTTTTGTCTTTTACTTTTTGTAGGCTTTTATAATTAACAGAATGATAAAATTTGTGGAGATGAGAACAGATTCAATTGGAAAAGGAATCGCATTGGTAAATACTTTTTAAATTGCATGGCCACGGATAATGTATGTTTCCCCAGGAAGCTCGTATAATTAATACACGAAGCTAATTTTAGGAATTCAGTGCGGGTACTGCAATGTTATTTTCTCTATAGCCGAAGTACTAGCACTACTTGACCACTGTGAACGTTTCGAGAAATCTAATAACACTATATATCGACAGGTTCGAAATGTTAATGGGGCTATATTTTATGGGGTTTTTTATGTATAGTGTTTCAATCTCACCCAAACTACCTTGGACCTACATACATTCATAAAAAGTTTATATAACTTCAAAAAGCTTCAATCATTTTTTCGTAATTATGTCATATACTGTAGGTGGTTGGTCTTATGGTGAGTGAAGTATCTCGAAGTTGGTTCCAATCAATAAGCTTCATGATAAACCTCAGAAATGGTTTAAATGCGAGATCCATGGCATGGATGATGGTCTATAACAAAATGGCCAGGTTGAAAAATGCTGGAGATAAATCAATAGGAGAGGTAATGTTATGGGACCATCCATTATAATGATTTCTAAATGTATTTTGTGTTGCGACACATTACCAATTATTATATCAATTACGCTATACTTATCATCTTATATAAGAAAACAGTCGAGCCCGGCAAACTCGAAATTTTTTAAACGCTTAGCCAATCGGCAAAACGAAAGTGAAGCCTCGCCTCGTTTATGCGTCAGTAGTGTCATCCACGCCGGTCCGCACGTGAATTTCAGTTCTCTGACGTTCAATTGCGTTCATGGCCATGACAGTGACGTAAAGTGGCGTTGGCATTTTTTTTGCTTCTCTTTTTATATTTTAAATATGCATTTTTCGCTACTATATATATATATATATATATATATATATATATATATATATATATATATATATATATATATATATATATATTAGCAAAAAGTGCATATTTAAAATATAAAAAGAGAAGTTGGGTGACAAATTAAAACATAGCGTCAAAGCAAAACTGCATGACTGCACGGCTGTTGCTTTTGTTTGAGCACATTGAAGTATTATAATGGTCCACAGCTGTGTACTAGTCGGTTAAATTTTTGTCACCAAAAATGGCGGATTATTTTTGATGACACGTCATATTGCAAGACCTGAATAACTTTCCACATTTTTGAGGACTGAGAGTATCTGACGCGTTTTAGAGTGAATGGCCGATTTGAAATTAACACTTTTTTATATCTTATGCATGAACATAAATGTATTTTTGTCCAGTTAGCTTAAAATGTGTCCGTCAAAATAATCATACGATTTTCTTGTCCATTTTTCATTAAAATTGTTTAATCTGAGAAAATGTGAAAAATTGTACTTGATACAGTAAACAGTATACTCGAAAGATGTATAACGGGAAAATGTATAATTTTAGGCGACGTTGTGGCTTATTGTTTAATCTTCTATTAATAGCTTGTAAACATTTGTGCTAGTGATGCCCAGCGAGTATTTGACTGTTTCTTCTACGGCTTTTTTGTAATTGGTAAGTAAATTAATAATTATTTTTCTAACATTTATTTCTATGAAATTCCTCATTAAAACAATCTTCTTTGACTATAGGTGGACCTTTCGCACTTATACTTGTCATAGCTTACACAACATACATACTAGGACCTTCAGCTTTGCTTGGATGTGTTATATTGTTTTTCATGTTTCCAATCCAGGTTAGTTTTTAAGATTAATTTCATCGACTACAATACAGGCAAAAACGAATGAAACACCCTGCATGATGAACAATTTTCTCTAAATAAATTTAACCCCTTCCCCCTACAATGTTGATTGAGTTGAATACTGAAAGACCCCACGTGCATGCATGGTGCTGCATCGATGAACTACATGTATTGTAAACATTTTCATAGTTGTATAGTACAACCAACATTGTTTAAGGCTTGCGCCGGTTTCCTTGACTTTTTTCCAAGATTGTATATAGGGTGTACAGCAGCAGAGTTTTACTAACTGTGATAGTCCAGCACATTGTGGTCAACTTCAAAGGAAAGTTGTCAGAATGTTTAAATTGTTCACTGTCACTCATATATTAGCAAAATTTGCCCGCTCCCATAAGTGTCAAAACACAAGTAATTTGCCACCATGTGTAGCACCATATAAATCACTTAGCTGCTAAAACCCACCTGTAATAATCTAGGCTGCAAATAATGTCTGAACTTTTTCATTCTTTTTTTGTGAACAAGGCCTTTATTGGGAAAATTATCGGAAAGTTGAGAACGAAAGCAGTTGTTGTAACTGATCGAAGAGTAAAACTGATGAATGAAGTGTTGAGTTGTATAAAGTTAATCAAAATGTACGCCTGGGAAAAGTCATTTGCTAAAGTGATTGGAGGTAACATAGATTTGCGCAGAATGATATATTGTCATGCGCAGAGTATTTAGAGAGCTTGCGTTCTACACAGGAACTATACTATTTGGAAATTGATGAGAAAGTGCAGTTCTGCATGACTGTGTGTGCATGATATACGCCGGGACGATGTGAAGGCAAGGGGGGAGATTTTCGTGAAAGGGCACTTTTGGATTGATATATACCACTGATCTGTACTAAGACTGGATAACGCATCTATAGTATACAAAGTGAAGCCGGAAGTCACCGGCCGCCACCCGATTTAAGGGTCCCACTTTTGTATAGATTTGTATTACAGATGGTAGTTTTTCGCGTTTTTTGCCTTGGCTACGTTTCTGACCGGGACAGTTTTACAATCACAAAGATAGAAGCATACAAGAAGAATTTTGAGCAAAAAAATTGGAGTATTATGGCTTTATAACGCCTAACCTGAAGTTCAGGCCCTAATCACAGAATAGGGCCTGACACAAAACCTATCTAAAGTGTGGGATTCCCGTCCATCTGGTGGACGGGAAATCTGATTGGTTGATCAGCATGATGAAGGATTTTGATTGGTTGCAAGTTTACATAAACAACAGTTTTAAAAATAGCTCGGTCAAGGCGATAATTAATATAAAGGTCAAACGCACGTACAAATTCTATTATCGATTTCTTCGAATTTCTTTTTCTTTTATGATTTATGGCAGAAAATAAATCAAACAGTATTTTGAAAGGGCTTTACCAAAATCTTGGACGAATTTTGGACACACGACGCCGAAAGAACAGCCAAACTAAGTCATGTATTCGAAAGCTTGTTGTTGACAGCCAAGATGTTCTGCCAACTGGCTTCGCCGGCAAAAGTCTTATTTTTAATATCAGGTCCTACCGGCGTTGTTTTCTGAGCTACATCGCCTTCTTCGTGGTACGATTGAGAATTTCATTGTTGCTGTTGTTAGCCCGTTTTAATAAAGTATATCCCCAATATCCACGCCCAGCAAGTTGAGAGGGTCCTGAAGGGGGGGGGGAGCGTCCCAAATCCCATTTCCCACTTGAAATTTTGGCAAAATCCCAGTCCCAGTTGGATTTTCATTAGAAATCCCAGTCCGAGTTACAGACCTGCCAACCCTTGAGTAGCAGAAATAGTGAGTTGCCGTCTAAAACGTCGTGAGATTGACTGAAAAATCGTGAGAGAAATTTTCAGGTTTGCTCATTAATATGACCAAGGTTAACTTTAACAATATATTACACCAGAAAATAATCATTAGATTTACAATTTTATGATAGTATATTAGTATGCATTTATATTTTGTTAATATAACCGTAAATGCAAGGCTTATTAAAAATAGGCTGTTTTTTCTTGATGGCTTTAATAGCTTCCACTGTACAAAAACAAGAAAATTATGACTAACAGGACAATAAACTTAGGAGGACACGCCTTTTACTTTGTAACACAAACATCACGCATACAAAATTCTGGCGTTGTACATTATGAGGATCGTGACTAAAACACCACACGAGTACATACGAGTAACATACGAGTAACACACAAGTACATACGAGTACATACGAGTAACACACGAGTACATACGAGTAACATACGAGTACATACGAGTAACATACGAGCACATACGAGTAACACGAATACATACGAGTAACATACGAGTAAAACACAAGTACATACGAGTAGAATACGAGTACATACGAGTAAAATACGACTAGTAAAGTTGTTTTTAGTGTTTGTAGATTGTATACAGGCAAAAAGATCGTCTTCTCTGTCGAAAAACGTGGAATGAGGGAACGGGGAATGGAGGAACAGGGAATGGGGAGAACGGAGAATGGAGGAACGAGTAACGGGGGGGTGGGATCGAGCAATTATGAATTATTATTAATACGTAATATTAATCATATGTACGGGGGGGGGGGGAAAGAACAGAAAAAAACCCCCAGAAATTCGACAGGATAAACGGGAATCGGGGAATTACGAAACTATAAAACGGACTCTGGTGTCTTGGGAATTAGAAAACCGCTCAATGAATTAAAACTAGTAAAGAAATTTAGCGAAGCTTTCCTTTATTAATAATAATAACATTGCTTATGTCATTACTAATATACTTGCTATATAATAAAACAAACTTAAGGACTAGATGCAAGCCCAAGGCTGTCCTTATGCTCCATATGATATCTTAAAGTGATTATCCTATTTTAAATATCTTACAAAGCAAAACTAACAAAACACAAAATACTTCAAAATACGCAGATTTTAAGTTAGCAATTTAAGTTGGCAAGTACGTTTCTAAAGGACCCAGCCGAACTCTCCTGCAAGCCTTTGGACGTGCTCCACCTTGAGAAGGGGAGGAAAGTCTGGAGGAACGAGAACGTCGCCAAGAAAGCTTGGATACTCTGCTCTGATGCAGGCTGATCGGAAATTTATACAAACAAACCAGCGAAGAATAACAAATTGATAAACGGAACGTACGTTTTAGGCTTTATCCTTTGTCCTTGTTTAACAAAATCGATTTAAAGGACTGTGTCACCGCGTCACCGCGTGCGCATCCTACATGTTTCTAACACTAAGTAATGATAAATTATTGTTAATATTTTTTAAATTCTTTGTGTGTTTTTTCCTTCTTTTATTTCAAATAGAAGTATAGTTAGGATAAATTCTAGAAAATTTAGATGCTCAGACGGTAGGAAATGGCATTTTTGGGCTTGAAATTTCAAAAACTTTCTGGGGAGTTAATGCCTCCAGACCCCCTATTCATTTGCGGTATGTCGTGTCGTGAACGTTTATACAGTTACATTTATAGATCAGTAGTGTTAATATTATTAAGGAAATGTACAATTTGATTGACACTTCGGATATAGTATATAACATGTGAGCGAGCGTTGACTTTAGAACGGGAATTATAACTTAAACAAAACGTGATATTATAAAGTCTTTACTTCTTCGAACCGATTGTGGGAATCAAACTAAACTTCACCACAAAGTGGCACCTTCGACCGGGATTATTTGGACTTGTAACTTGTGAATTTATCGGGAATTTGTCGAGAGTTTATCGGGGTTTGAGGAAGTATTTTGACTACAAAATCGAGCTATGGTGACGAGACAACAAAGTCAGCGAAGAGATCTTGAAGCCCAAGACGAACAGCAATCGGGTTTATCCAAGGAAACTGAGTCGAAACTGGTTAACTTACAGTCTTTACTACGGAAATTAGCATATTTTAACCGAGCAACAGACGAGATTTTGAGAGTGAATTCGAAAGAGGCGATAATACGACAACAAACAACGCTAAAAACCAAGGTAAGCGAAGCGTATGGTTTGATTGAGCTTATACAATGCTTGAAAATTGATGCAGGCGAATCTGACGAAACTATTGACGAGTGGACAAGCGAAAATAATGGCAGATTACGTGAATATGAAGCGGCAATCGAAGAGTTAAATCGTAGGCTCTTAGACGAAGAGAGAATACAAAGGGAAATTGAGCGCCAAGAGAAAATTCGACAAGAAGTGGAAGCACGAGCTCTAATAAGACATGAGGAAGAACAGGCAGAATTTGAAAAGCGTGCAAGGGAGGAAAAGTTTGCATTATCTTTGGAAGAAAAGAAGTTGGAAATTGCTTCTGCAAAACGGATCAAAACAAAATTACCTGATCTACAAATATCAAAATTTCAAGGAAGTCATTTGGACTGGGTGCGGTTCTGGGGTTTATTTGAGACCCAAATTGATAAAGCACCTATGAATGATGAAGCAAAGTTTGCATATTTGAAAGAGCATGTTGTATCCAAAGTTAGGGTTACAATCGATAAATTACCACTCAGCACCGAAGGGTATGCGAAAGCGAAAAAGATGTTAAAGGAACGGTATGGTGATACAAGTGAGGTGGTCAATGCACACATACAAGAAATTATTTCCCTACCTACCATTAATGGTGCTTCAAAACAAAAGATACATAACTTTTATGATAATCTTGTCGGACACGTTCAAGCGCTTGAAACATTCGGAAAACTAGGCGATGTTGCGGGAAATGTAAGGATGACTTTGGATAAGTTGGAAGGGATTCGGGCTGACCTAACAAGAACCTCGCCAGAGTGGAAAAAGTGGACCTTCCCTGAGTTGGTTGAAGCATTGCGACAATGGATTGAACGAAACCCAATACAACAAAGTGAGAAAGATGCGAAGAAAGATGGATCACCATGGAAAGACGGTAGGAAAGATAGATTATTGTTAGCAAAGGAACAATCCAGACAGTGTGTGTATTGTGAAAGCAAAAGTCACAGATCGGTAGAGTGCGATAAAGTTGTGAGTGCAAGTGACCGAAAGAAATTGTTAAGCAGCAAGCATCTGTGTTTTAATTGCACAGGCGAGAAGCATAGAGCAAGTGATTGTAGAAGTAGGATCCAGTGTTATAACTGCAAGCGAAGACACCATACTTCTATTTGTGATAAACTAGAAGATGGTCAAAAGCTGATGTGCCAACCCAATGGAAATGATGTTGTTTATCCAGTTGTTGTAGTCGAGATTGAAGGAGTTAAGTGTCGAGCACTTTTAGATACTGGATCTGGAAGCTCTTTCGCGTCAAGTACGTTATTGAATACAATTGGAAAAAAGCCAGTGAGACAGGAATTTAAATCAATTGAAATGATGTTCCAAACTACAACAAGGAAAATTGATGTGTATGAAGTCGAGATTGCAGATGTTGAGGGAAAATTCAAGATGCCATGTGAGTTGAACCGGATCGAGAAGGATGTGCTAATGACTTTGCCAAACCCCAGGTATAAGGAACTTATTAAATCTTATGAACATCTTCGAGGAGTCCATATGAATGACGGAGACGAGAAAGCACTTCTACCTGTTCACCTTATCTTAGGAGCCAGTGATATGTCCAGAGTCAAGACATCAGAACCAGCCAGGGTTGGAGACGATGGGATGCCAGTTGCTGAGAAAACCGCGTTGGGATGGACCATCATGTCACCGGGACGAGAGATGAATCATTCCTTCCTGATGTTCACCAAAAGCTCTCAAGAAGACTACATGCATCTTTGCAGCTTGGATGTGCTAGGATTAGAAGACCATGCCGAAGGAGATCAAGGAAGCGTTTATCAGGAGTTTAAGGAACAGCTTACTAAGCGAGAAGACGGTCGATACGAAACGTCATTACCATGGAAGGCTAATCATCCAGAGCTTCCGACCAATTACCATGTTGCTAAGCGGAGATTTCAGTCATTATTCAACCGGCTTGATAAACAACCAGAACTGCTAGAGACTTACCACAGTATCATAGAGAATCAACTTGAGGAAGGAGTCATTGAAGTCGCACCAGAGAAAGCAGAGAGAAGCCGAGAGCATTATATCCCACACAAGCCTGTAGTACGAGAGCATGCCGAGTCTACGAAAGTAAGAATTGTTTACGATGCTTCGGCAAAAGCTGATGAAAATTCACCTTCGTTGAATGATTGCTTGGACATTGGTCCCCCACTCCAAAGGCGAATCCTAGATATACTATTACGCAGTCGAATGAGACCAATTCTCTTGGCTGGTGACATAAAACAAGCATTCCTACAAATTGTGATCAGGGAGATCGAGCGAGATGTAATGAGATTTTTATGGATAAATGATCTACAACGCAAAGAGATGATGGTCTATCGCATGACCAGAGCGATGTTTGGGCTAGGCCCAAGTCCATTTCTACTCGGAGGAACTTTGAATGTTCACCTCGAGAAGTATGTACAGCAATATCCACAGTGTGTTGAAGAATTGTCCGAAGGAACTTATGTTGATGATATAAACATTGGAGGTGACACAGTTGAAGAGACTAAAGTACTCAAAGAGCAGGCAAAAGAGATTCTTAGTGAGGGAAGTTTTATGTTGCACAAATGGCATTCTAATGCGGTGGAGTTAGAGAGTGACATCGTGGAAGACGGCGAATCTACTTATGCCAAAGAAACTTTAGGAACTAAACCATCTGATACTAAACTGCTGGGGTTGGGATGGAACAAGAAGGAAGATACTTTGTTTGTATCACTACCGAAACAGAATGTAGAAATGACCAAACGAACAGTCCTTCAAACAATGGCGAAACTGTATGATCCTCTGGGTATAGCTGCTCCGTATTTACTCACGGCGAAAGTAATCTTCCGGGACATTTGCGATCGGAAACTTGGATGGGACGTTGAGCTGCCCAAAGATCTTAAAAGCCGATGGGAGAGATGGTTAGACAGTCTGCCAAGTGTGTTAACCTTCCCAAGAAGCATTCCTCGAGAGAGAGCATCAATTACCGAGATTCACATCCATGGGTTTGCCAATGCCAGCATTCTGGGATGTTGTGCTGTTATCTATGTAGTGGCAAAGCAGGGTGAACTAGTTTCTCGAGGTCTGCTGGTATCCAGAGCACGGTTGGCGAAACGCGATTTAACAATTCCTAGATTGGAACTTGTCAGCTGTCATATGGTCAGCAACCTTATCCACAATACCAAAAAAGTTCTTAGTTATCTTCCAGTGACGGGTGTTT